TCCTATAGAAAAAGCCACAAAATTGGATGTAGATGAACCTAGTTCATCTATTGATCAGAAGTTGTATGGGGGAATGATTGGTTCTTTGTTTTATCTCATTATTAGCAGACCTAACATTATTTTCAGTGTAGGCCTTTATGCTAGATTTCAAGCAAATCCAAAGGAGTCTCACTTGACTGATGTCAAGAAGATCTTGAGATACCTAAAAGGCACCACTACCTTTGTTTATAGTATCCTAAAGGTAGTAATTTCAACTTAGTGAGATATGTTGATGCTGAGTATGCATGTTTTCTTGTGGATAGAAAGAGCACCTCAGATATGGCACACTTTCTTGGCTCATGTCTTCTGTCTTGGGCTACCAAAAAGCAAGATTCTGTGGCCTTATCTACTGCGGAAACTGAGTATGTTGTTGCTGCCTCATGTTGTGCTCAATTGTTGTGGTTCAAACAGCAATTAATGGATTTTGGAATTGATGTAGGTTGTATCCCCATCTTTTGTGATAACACTAGTGCAATTAGTATGACCAAGAAATCGGTTCATCACAAGAGAACTAAGCACATCGATGGTAGGCATCATTTTTTTAGGGACAACTATGAAAAGGGTTTGATCACTATGGAATTTTGTGCTATTGACAAGCAAATAGCTAACATTTTCACAAAAGCTCTAAGTAGAGATAACTTTGAAAGGAATATGTTAGAATCAAAAATGATTAAGATCACCTAAAAAGAACCAATTCTAACTCAAATATTGGTTAGAAAATTTGTGAATTTTTGTACATAATTAGATTAGATTTTTCTCAGTCTCATACTTTCATTATTATACTTTTGTGTCATGTGCTAAAATGACTCATTAATATCTAATGATATTGTCTCTATTTTCTTGGAAAATGTAGACTTACACAAGAGATTTCTCAGTAAAAAACCTAGTTCATCAAGATTACTTGGTACGTACTCTCCACTTTGTAAATTTTGAAATAATTATATTTCGGTTATGATCAGGTGGAGATTCCAATTTAATCCTAACCTCCTTGAACTTATCCGTTACGAAATGAAATAGTTTCATGCCAAATCGGTTGAAAGAAATGAAAGGAATGTTGGAAAATGAGCTTCAAAGCTTGAACTTCCACTTTCAATAGTCAGAAGAAGTGGATCGGTTAGAAAGGAGAACAAATTGATCACGTGTCCCCTTCTCAACAACCTTTCCCGCATCAGTAGATACCAAAAACGCAATAAGTGACTAGATTCTAGGGAGAGTCTCCAACGTCTTTTCAAAATGACTTCCGGTTTGATTAGATTTCTGAAAAAGCTGTCATTACCCAATTAAACTCGTCCACATAAAATTGATTAGGCTTAGTTGTTTATTCAGTTCTAAATTTCCAAGACGTCAAACAATTCTCTCTATCTTCGCTCATCTTCTAAAAACCTACACACATACACTCATCCTCTCTCATACCCAAAACACTGAAATGACAAACCCTTCTGAGAATCCATCATCACCACCCAAGGAAACTACACCCATACCATCCATCACACCCTTAACCACACCCACCTCTAAGAAAGGAAGGTCTAAGATGATTGCTCATAAGGTTGTTGCTGGAGGAGAAGAAATCAAGAAAATTAAAGAAAAATTGAAAGCAAGTCGAGAAGAAGAACCCCAGAAATCCGATGAATCATTCAAATTTGCTACTAAGGGGGAAGAAACTATTTCTTCTAAAATAGAGCAAGTAAAATCTTGCTTAAATATTACTTCTGAAATCATCTCTGAGGTTGCTGTAAATTTAGAGAATAGGTTTGTTCTAGTAGGTACTATGGGTGGAGTTGAGACCACTGAGTCTAGGAGAATAGGTGGTAAAGATAAAAAGAGAAAAGAAAAGAAGTGAGGGTGTTCAAGGTATTGTAAGGAGAGTGAGAAAGGAGTGGCTGAATCTTCACCCACTCCTATTGGTTTGAATGAAGAAACAGGAGCTATGGTAGTGTGGGGTGAGGAATCTGCTAGAGAAGAAGAAAGTGTAAGAGAAACAGGGGGAAGTGGGTCTGGAGAAGCCGCTGAGGGGTTGGGTATATTAGGGATGAAAGTTCAAGAAATTGTTTCATTTGAGCAGGAACCCCTCGCAGACCTACTGAAAAAGGTATTTGATAGTTATAATCCTAAAAATAAAAGGAGTTCAGGTGTCAAATCCCCTAGTACTACTAGAGCAAACAAGAAAAGAAAGGGTGTTTCGTCTATCTCGGTAGAGACTCTTCCTATAAGAGAAAGAGCTATAAGGAGTTAGAAGAAGCAGAGTGAGGCTGAACTGGAAAAGGCCTTAGAAGAAAGTAAGAGAAAAGTTATTGCAGAATGAAAGAAAAAGGCGGTTGAGCCTGTTGAGGTAGTAAAGATTGATGAGATGGACCTGGTCCTTCAAGATGAAGAGGAGGCAGAAGGAATGGAGGTTGTGACTCCAAAGGCAAAGAAAGTCAAGACTTCCATAAAGAAGTCTACTTCAAAGACAAAATCTGCAAAGCTTTCTACCTTGGCTAAAAGAACTAGGTCTGCATTAAAATCTAGAAAAGTAAAAGTTGTGGAGGAAGAAGAATGGAGTGGAGAAGAAGAATAAGAATCTCATGTAGATAAGGATAAGATGGTCAAGTTTGGGAAAAGAACAATCTTGAAGGGTAGACTCATCAGGAACTTGGAGGAGGAAGGTTTGATGATGCTGGTAGAAAAGTTACAACTGTAGGGTTGGAAGGACATGGTTCTTTAGATGAATGGAAAGCTTGCCAGAACTAAGATTGTGGAGTTCATGAAAAATTGTGAGATCAAAAATGGCAGAGTCACCAGTATGGTGAAGGGAGTGATAGTGAGTTTTGATGATAAAGAACTGGGAGAGATCATAGGTGTACCTGATGAAGGGTATTTACAAAAAGCTCAAATGGCCAAGTCTAGAGAATCTCCCTACCTCCCTTTCCATTACAAGGAAGTTTGGTGACAATGAAGAAGAACTTCAGCCCAAGGTTATATACAAAAGTGAGATGAAGCTATCCCACAAAGTGCTATTCGAATTTGTTAACAAAGTTGTACTGCCTAGGCAAGAAATGAAGCGCATTGCCACATTCATGGACCTGGTCCTTATGGAATGTCTATACAGTAAAAGGCAAATCAATTGGCCTGGATTTATCATCCAGCTTCTTGATAGGGTTCTGACTTGCACCAAAACTCATGCAATACCCTATGGTTTTATTCTCATGGCTGTACTTGCACACTTCAAGGTACCATCAAGAAATGAGAAGTTGGTACAAGCAAGGATTACTTTGGAAAAAACACTTTCACTGCTTGTGACTATGAAGTCCACACTACTCCTAAAGAATCTAGTTCATCCAAAAAGGTACTTGTGAACAGCAAAGTGCGAGCCTTGGTACAAGAAAGTGAGGCTAAGGATGCTGAAATTGAAAGGCTGAAGAAGATGTTGGCAAAAGTAAAAACTGAAAGAGATGTTGTCAGAGCTGAGCTGACAAAAGAACCAAGAACCTGGTCCTTCCTAGCTTTAAGACCTCCGAACCTAGTTAGATCAACCAGTGATCCGGATGGGATTTCTTTTTGTTCTTTTTGCTCATAATCCAATGTTTTATTTCTCTTTATGATTTGTGGATGATAAGTATCAATGACAATCAGCTGTTTTAGTGCTCTAACTATTTGTTGATGCTTCTTAGATGACTAATATCATTAGATTGATAAATGATGCTTGATTTGATGTCTATATTTGAAGTAGCCCCAGTGGCCATGAGTAATTTCTATTAAAATCTGATTATCTAATATAATTATGCAACTTTTCGATGATGCCAAAAAGGGAAAAATTAGGTTGTGCCCTTTAATTTGGACTGTGATATTTATAACCTAATGAACCTGGTCCTTGGTGATTAGCAACTTCAAAATGAAAAGTATTCTAGCATTGTGCTGATGTTGAACGGAGTTGAAACACGGCATATGCTTATGAAAAGTGCAGAGTTTGTCATCATCAAAAAGGGAGAATTTGTTGGCCCAAGTGAAGTTTGGTTTGATCATTGACAAAGGAACTCAAGCATAAACTAGGTCCATACACGGGCAGATTCGAGCATAAGGGATACACATGAAGGAGATAAGCTTAAGTTGGTATATCTAATATCTCCTAATCGAAAAAGTTGCATAAATGATAAGGAGAAGGACTCCTTACTCGAAGAGAACTTTATTCAAGATAAGGGAGGAGTTAGAAGTTGAAGATAACTAGAACTCTTCCACCAAGGAATAGTATAGCATTGGAACTCTAGTTGTTTCCTATTCTACTAACTCTATAAATTACAGGATATTCTCACTTTATAGGTATGCACAAAAGCTGAAGTTAAACGTGAGTTGAGAGCTAAATAGCAAGACATTTTGCAAGCAATTCTTGTGTGATTCAAGTATGCGAACCAGAAGCTACATGAACCAGATAGAAGAACTAGTTCCAACTGTCTATCTTTTATTCTAGTTTTATTGTAGTATGTGGTTTTCAAAATTTACCTTTCTGCTTTATCTGGAAGCAATTGTATTAGGTACTCTGAGCATTCAAGTTATAGTTAACTTGAAGTTACTTCAACAGTTAGAGGCTGGTTGCCACAACGGAATTAATGGTAATCCTTAGGTTAACAAAGAATTTTGTAAATTTTGTTTTGGCTCAGTGATTTAGTGAAGTGTTGGAAAAAATCCTACTGTATAGTAGGTCATGGTTTTTTCACATTTTGAGCGGGGTATTTTCCACGCAAAAATACTTGTGTTCTTTACTTTCCGCATTTATTATTCCGCAATAGTACTATAAGGAACACATAAAAGAACCAGATCCTTCTATAATTTGTGCACGCGAAAATTGGATACCACACAAATTACCCCATGACATTGAAGTATAAAACATCATCAATAAAGATCGACAACAAGGTAGATACTCATTTGCAAATGAAAATAAAGAAAGTCAACCCCAACTTTTCTTGCTAACTATAAATTGAGCTGGTTGAGGCTCTTCCATTGTGAACTTTTATACCCATCACCTTCTTTTGGCTCTTCCATTGTAAATTTTTATACCCATCACCTTCTTTTGGCTGTTCTTGCTTTCCAATAACTCTTCATACAAATCTAGATATTTCCCCATTTCCATGGAGATTGACTCCACAAGAAAGACTGACTCCAAAAGCAAAGAACAAGCTGGTGTCTTCATCAGGTCGTGGAGCCAGCTCAAGGGATTTCCCAGGATGTTGAAGGACAAAGCTTGGAACATTGCTAAGAACACAAAACAGATTGGGAAAGATGATCCAAGGAAAATTTGGCATGCAGCTAAGGTGGGACTAGCTCTCACTTTAGTATTGTTATTCTACTATTCCTGGCCGCTCTATCATAGCTTTGAACAATCAGCAATAATGGCTTGCCTGACTGTGATGGTTGCTTTTGAGTATACTGCTGGTAATTTTTGTGATCTCAGTGCATTCTCATATTTCTTCTGATTTGATGATCTTGTTTATTCGTTTTTACACTTTTCATATTAATGACTTTTATTTTTTCAGGTGCAACTATGTCTAAGTGCATAAACATAGCTTTTGCTACGGCCCTAGGTGGCACATTAGGTATTGGAGCTAAATATTTAGCTGAGCTTTGTGGAAAAGAAGGGGAACCTATAGTTCTTGGGTTTTTGGTCTTCATTCTAGGTATGAAATGGAAGCTCAACACACTCTTTCTCTAAACAAAATGTACAAAATAAAAAAATTATATTGTTCAAAGTTTTCTCAGTTTTAAATTTTTTACGTGATGATATATATCTAGCTAGAAGTCCTTTTTCATAATCAAATCATAATTGTTTCACCGAACAACATGCAGTAGTAGGTACATTGGCGGATTCGGTATTTTAACTTTACGGATTCATCATTTAAGGTTATTAGCATAAATTTGTTATAATTTAAAAGTTATTGGTTCATATCTTTGTTTATTAGTACAATATTAGTGGATTTTATCCGTAAATTTGAAAAGCAAATAGATTCAAATGAATCCGGTATCGTAAGGGTGCATCCTCCCCTGGTTACATCAAAGACTCGTGTGCTTCATGCAGGTGCTATAGGTACATTTACAAGGTTTTACCCACATATGCAAATGAGGTATGACTATGGATGCATGCTCTTTGTCGCAACCTTCAGTTTGGTGTCAGTCTCCGGTGACAAGTACTTGGATTTGGATAAGCAGCGGATATCCACCATAATGGTCAGTGTTGGAACCGTCATGATCATCTCCTTGCTTATTTGTCCAGTCTGGGCTGGGGAAGATCTTCATAACCTTGTTACTACCAACCTTGAAAAGCTAGCGAGCTTCTTAGAAGGTCCGTTGGATATCTTGATTTCTTTTGCTCCCTCCGCTTTGGTTTATGTGACAGTATATTCTTTTTACTTCATGTAAAAAGAATGATCGAATTAGAAATTTAAAATCAATTTATTATATTTCTTATTTACCCTTAAGGACAAGGTTTTATAACATATTTAAGACCGCAAATTTCAAAAATTTTATTATCACGTACTTACACAAATATTACTGCATGTTTTAGATCGCAAGTTTTAAAACTCTTAAATATATTTGTTTCAACTTCACATTATGTCAAACTATACTATATAAATTGAAATGGAGGAAGTACGGTTTAACCTTTGTCACTCCATTGTTAAGAATTTATGTGGAGCAACAAATTGATGAAAAAAAGAATATTTTTTTGAAGGATTTGGAAGTGAGTATTTTGACGTTTCAGAGGCTGAGGCAAGTGGCGAGGGAAACAAGGACAATGAAAAGGGTTATTTTGAAGCCTTTAAAAGTGTTCTTGGTTCAAAGGCCACTGAGGAATCTTTGGTGCGTATTAGAGATCACCAAATCTCCCTTCTTGTTAATTCACTAATACGCTAGATATAGAGCTAGACTATTTCATAATTCAACTTCCATTCAATGCTCTTAATTTGTATTTTAGTTGTGGAATTTCTTTAGAACGACTAAAAAGAGCATTTTTCTCACAAGTTTGAATGTTCCTTCTTTAGTGGCGGAATATTAAGTCAGTTGTTGCGGTGAGAAACTCTTTAGTTTTAGTATCTGAAACAATAATTACTTTCAAGAGAGAATACAAAATAAAAAGGAATATAGAAGGTAAGAGAAAATTAAAGAAGTTATATATTGTCATATAATCTATAGAGATTAGTGAATATTGGGTTTTAGATAGCCACAAGATTAGTGTCGCGTTGATGCGATTGTTAAGATAAATATACGATCATACAAATTTCCATAAAGATCATTAATAATCATCACATTTATCAGAAAGTGCAATAGAACATAATAGATTAATGTTGCTTGAGATACTTTGGCCCCCTGATACGTAGGCCTTCAGATGCACCGATTTTTAGACCTAAAATTATGATGATTGAAGGAGTTAAAAGATAGAGAAATAGACCTAAGATTACAGGGCAGAAAATAATCTCAAAAGGTAATATCTAGGAGTCCGAGCAAATCTAACAAAAGGAAGAAAATAATGGAAGTTAACAAATTGTAATAGGTGATACCAACTAGAAAATTAGTTCTAACCAGAAAACTCCTACTACTAGTATATTAAAAATTATAACCACAAGTGTATATTAGAGAACACCTAGTGTTAAATAGCAGTACATAAGTATTGAGTATTGAAATATACCTAAACAAAAAACAAATTATGATAGTGATAATTTATATAGCATATGCAACTTTGAAATGTCTTAGTTCATTGATTTATCATATTGTCTTGATAAGAGAAACATTCAGGAGGCATACAGTAAGCAAGAGAAACACATTTTCTTGCCTTTCTTTTCTCCCTTCTTTATCACTGTAGCAAATAAAAATAATACAAACTAAAAAACAAATGTTTCAGGCAAACATTGCATGGTGGGAGCCTGCACACGGATCATTCAGGTTTAATCATCCATGGAAACAATACTTGAAGATTGGCGGAATTGCTAGAGAATGTGCTGGCCATCTTCAATCTCTTAGTGGCCACTTAAAATCCAAGTCTCAGGTATATATATTGCAAGTATAATTGCACGATCATAAATTACAGTTATAAAAATTTCGGAGAATTTAATAAATATATTCGATTTGGTATGTTATGCATAAAAATGGAAGCTTGGAAAATGACATAAAAGCGGTTCTGTCCTTAAACGAAAAACACGAAAAGTGCTTATAAGACCGTAAACTGCATACCTCAATGGNATATATATATATATATATATATATTGCAAGTTTACTTGCACGATCATAAATTACAGTTAAAACAATTTCGGAGAATTTAATAAATATATTCGATTTGGTATGTTATATATGCATCCATATAAGACCGCATACCTCAATGGTAATAATTGTGAAGACATTTTTCTGTATGAAATTTAATCTGAAATGAATTATAATAAACATTAGCACTTTTTAATCATTATAAAAAAACTCTAATATTGTCTGAACTAGTACAGCAGCATTTGGGAGTCACAAAAGGCTTGGCATCAATTCGTAGAATTAATTTTTCAATCAGTCTCTCCAAACATCACGAATATAATATAGATGTCAAATTTAAAAAAAATCTGTATAATTCAGCCAAGTATCATCCATATAAGATTGAAAAGAGGTTGGATGATGACATAAGTTGAGCTTAAATAGTAAAGTGAGAATTCATGTAGCCGATCCCGGCTTTTTTGATATTGAAGCATTATTGTTGTTATTATATAGGGGTAAATTTTCAAATGGTCAAATAAATATAACTTTTTTTAAATCAAAATAGTGTTATTATGTTTTCTCACACAAAAATCATAAAACTTTCACTAACTCAAACAAAAATATAGTGACCGGAAAGCACAACTTTCAAGTATTATTTTCTTATTTCATACTTTTTATTTTTTAATTTAATTTAATAAATAATAACCCAATTAAAATAGAAGAAAATATATTTTTAGCCGCCCCCAAAAATAAATAGTCGATAAAATATACTCCATGTATTTCAATTTAGATGATATAGTTTGATTTTGCACAAAGTTTAAGGAAAAAAAAAGACTCTTGAAACATGTGATCCTAAAAGCTTAAGGGACAAAAGTTTAGAGGGGCCATGATATTTGTGTTCTCATTAAGGATAAAATGGGTAAAATAAAAAGTTAAACGTTGAATTATTTCCAAATGTAGAAATGTGTCATTCTTTATATATATATATATATANAGTCAATTTTATATTTTTTTCTTAAAATAAGAATGACTCAACCCGGCCTAATCCAATACCCCATATATATAAAATTAAAAAATTATTAAAAATGACTCGTCCCCCGCCCCCCTTCAAAGAAAAATAAAAATAGTTTACAATGCATGAGATTACAATAAAAAAAAATATGGATGATTAAAGAGCTCATGAAATAATAATACTATTAATTTGAATGAAAATCTTGAAAAGAAAATAAAAGATAGAAGTATCGCATTTTGGAGGATTCACTCTTAATATTATTTTAATTTGTATATATGGGTATTGGGTCAAGTGGGGTAGAATCGGGTTGGATCATTCGTATTTTAACTAGATTATTATTTATTAAATAGAAAATAAAAAATAAAAAAACATAAAATAAGAAAATACTATCGAAAGTTGTGTTTTCTTGTCAATATGATTTTTGTTTGAAAAAAATTATTATTATATGACTTTGCTGGAAAAAATTCATAATTATTTAATCACTAGTGAAGCTGCCGCGCTTCGCGCGGTAATTAAAGACGTGAAAAAACACTTTAAAAATAATTATTTTGTCAATTTATTAGTACTATTTAATAAATGTAACATATTTTTTGCAACAAACTTTTTGAAGCATTCTGTAAATGTTATTATTAGGTATTAAGAATGTATTAATACCGTTTATAAATTTAGTCAATGCAGAGATACATGTTCACCCTATATGCATAAAAATATTACAACAATTCAATAGATTACGTAAATCGCAAATCAAAGATGAACTTATGATTTGTTTAAAAGATTATGCAAAAGAAAATTAATTATGTTAGCTTATTAGGGTTATAAGATCCTCCGCCACCCCCTCCATCCCAAAAGAAACGATGAATACTAAATTCTAAAATATATCTTAGCGCTTTCATATACTAATCAATTGTTTTGAATTAATTCACGTTAACAGATATTACTCAATTAACAAAAACTCTTTTTCCCTAGATCCTTTTAAGGAAAAAATTATCTTGCCAATAGAGTAGGTTCCATACCCTCCAATACATGTCTGAGTATCTCTAACCTTAAAATCACTTTCTTGAATTTAATAGCAAATTTATAAGTGATGATATTTAGCCAGAATCGATCATCGAGTCATTTAAATTATATACAGAAAACCAATGAGATAGCATGTACTCTAAAAGTAAATAGTTGCCACATATTGAAGAAAATATCCTGGACTCCAAGTTGATATGGGATTGAAGTAAGATTAGATTCTTTAGATCCCATGAGACATAGTTGACTTAATCTATCCCACCCTCTATTGGAGATAAAATAACTTAATATGATCAGAATAATATATCCATAAAGATTATCCACTTCTAAATGGGTTTAATTTATGGTGTCTACTAAACCAAGCCTGCTTCTACCTTATATGCCTGAAACTATTTATATCAACTAACAAATTAAGCAATGGTACTAACAAATTCTCTAAAACATGAAGTCGAGTTCTGCCCTATGAGAAAGAGAAAGATGATAAAGAAATTATGCTTATACCTGTTTTAAATGTAACTTAATGATAGAGTTGTAATTTTGATTAGTTCTCTGCTTTTAATACATTGTTCAACTGAATGTTTACATTTATAGTAACCTTCTAGCTTTATTGAAACGTATATTCAACAAAGTTTCAAAGCATAAGCCTGTGTGTGGTATTATGTGTATTCACCATACTTAAGATGTAAATACCCTTACTACATGTACATATTTGTTTTTTGGTTCAAGTCCTAGAAAGTGAATATACCTGCATCACTGCACACTGCTTATACCCAGACTTATAGTCTTTGTATTTCGACTGTAGACAAAAATAACTTCTTTTTTTCCCAACTTAAATTTGCCGATCCCTTTTGCATTCAAACAGATAGTTGAGCAATTTAAGAATTATGGAAAAAAATAGCAGAACTACCCAGCATGAATTTCCTTTTTCCATCTTAATTTGTCGATCTTTTTTGCATCCAAAAGGCCAAAAACACCCTTCAACCAAATAAAAGAATCAAAAAAATGTAAAGAGAATATCCCAACATCAAAACCTTCAAGATAAAAAATCTGTTAATTTACATAGGCAAACAATATCAAGAATCGAGATAGATATTAGAAGCAAGAACAGAGATGAATTACAGCATTGTAAGAAGTTTGGAATACTTTTAAGGTTTCCAAACCTTTCTATGATGCAAATTCTTTGTATGATGGAATTATCCCAGCCTTCTTCCGAGTAATATAAGAAGAAAAAAAAGAGGAATAGGCAAAAAGTAAAACAGCAAGAAAAGACGTGCCCTTGCACTTGCACGTTGAGAAGTCCAATGCGCCGACAATAAAAAGGCATAAGGAACTAATTGATCACCCAGCCCACAAAACCTTGCCTCTTTAATGATTTTCAATGAAACGTTTCGGACATTAGTTTCTTCATTATTAAAAGGTTTGAAGAAACCGCCTGGCAACGAAACGTTTCGCTTTTGTTAGTTGGAGGTTAATGGAAAAATTAGAAGGAAAGTTAAAGAGAAAATGCCAAAAAAGGAGAAAAAAGATAATTAGAATTCTTGTCCAATGGAAGGTGTCACATCACTTTTTTGGCCCTCCTTTATATATATATATATAGATTCGTAAAATTTTACCCTATTATATAAAATTGAACTGAGGTAGTACGTATAGTTACATACTACTAATATGTAGTGTCATTTGAACTCGTAAAACTTACTCAATTATCATTTCTTTCTTTTTTCTTTCTCACCAAAATTTTAGGTGATTTTATAGCATTTGTTAAGCTAGAAGCTATTTTGGAGCTATATGAAATTTCTAATTATCACACGTGCTTGATTTTCCAGGCAGCAACTGAGTTCAATAGAAGAACAGAAAAAGCATGCAAAAGAATGATAACGGAATCTAGCAAAACCTTAAAAGAGCTTGCATTCTCCATCAAAATTGTGACGAAACTTTCTACCATTACAACGGAATCCCACACGTATAACGCAAGAACTGCCATTGCTGATCTTAAAGAGACACTTTTTACGTTTAAAACCTTCTTCTTGTTCGAAGAAGCAGACACCATTGATGTCATCGGAGCAATGTCAGTGGTGTCAATACTCATTGACGTCACCAAGTGCATCGACAAAATCTCGGAGGCTGTTGAAGAGCTTTCAATTATAGCACGTTTCAACAAGGAGGAAAAGAAGGAGAAGAAGAAGAAGGACGATTCTTCTTCGGCCAAGGCATTGGAGAAACCACCGCCTCGGCCACGGCTTCTGATTCCTGTTTTGGAGGATGACAACGTCAATAGTACTGGTGCTTCTGTTATGATAGAGATACATGATTGTACAGAATCGGCAGGGAAAATCGCAGTGGAGGAGGTGAATCCAGTAGCTGCAATAAAAGCAGATGATGTTGTTTGTGAGATACATGCAGTAGAGGAGGTGAAGATCGCAGAAAAAAGGTGAATATGTGCTAGCGGGACGAAAAGGACATCCGGAAAAACAAATAGAAGGATAACAACAGGATATAGTTTATAATAACAGATTGAAATTCATTGTCCGAGCAGGCCGTAGCTAATTTTTTTAACTCGTAAAAATAAGAAACGCAAAGTGAAAGGATACAACGGCCTTATTTGTAATTTTTTTTAAGATTTAAGACGTATGAATCTGAATACATATTTGAATATCAATATGTATATAAATTAAAATTAAGATATTTGAATCTGAATACACATCTCAATATTAAGATGTATATTAAGATCTGAATACTAAATGATTCAGACTGTTTGTTTTTTAACATTTGAACGTATAAAACTTATCTTAATTTAAAAATTAATAAACATAAAATTTTGATAAAATATTAATTATCTAATATTTTATCAATAAAAAATATGTATATTTTAAAATATGGTAGTTGCTAGTGGTGATGGCTAACTGTGATGCTTGTGAATGCCAACTCGAGGCAATGTTTGACATTGTTTTGGTTTATGGTGGTCGTTCTGGCTAGTAGCTAGTGGTGATTGATAGCGATGGCGATTATGGCTGAGGATGATAGTGGTGGGTGGTGAGAGTTAATAATGGGTGATGGTGGTGGTGGTTGTGATTGTGATTGAGGAAGGTGATGGTGGATTGTGGTAGTTTATAATGGTGGGTGGTGCCGGCTATTATTGTTGATGGTGATAGGGTATTGATTGTGGTAGTTTAGGTGGGTGAGTGTGTGGTTGTGGTTGAGGATGGTGGTGGTTGGAGTGGAGGGTGGGGGTGGTAGTGATGGCGGGTACGGTTGAGGATGGAGTCGGTGGTGGTTGAGTATAATGGTCATGGTAGTTGACAATGGTAAGCGGTGGCAGCAGTTAGTAATGAATGTTAATGCTAGCATCTTAATGAAATTAAGTATTTATTATAGATCTTAATCATACAGATTTATTCAGGCCCATTAAGTGGCTGTGATGTAAAAAATACAAACACACTTAATAATTAAGATTCAGACTTTAAAAACAAACACACTTAATGCCTGAGATCTAAATGATTAAGATTCAGACCTCCATTAAGTGCAAACAAAGGAGACCGAAGTAAACCAAAAAAGTTAAATAACAGATTTCCTTTTGTTATAAATATATTATATTATGGATGTTCATTTAGTACTCCCTTGTAAATAAGCTTCCTGAAGAAGCTTACCCATATGGGAATCTGCCGTAAATATGTTTATCTAGTTAGTACTCTATTGGAAATAAGCTTCCTGAAGATATCACTTCGGTACCCGGTTATGAATAAACATTACCCTCGGTAGAAGATTATCCATATCGGGTACAATGAGCTTATCCTTTCAGTACTCCGTTATGGATAATCATTACTCTCAGTAGAAGATTATCCATATCGGGTACAATGAGCTTATCCTTTCAGTACTCCGTTATGGATAATCATTACTCTCAGTAGAAGATTATCCACAGCTTGCAGTAGCAGCTTACACGGCAGCTTGCAGTAGCAGCTTACACGACAGCTTGCACAACAGCTTCATTTCTTCTATAAATAGAAGAGATTTCAGTTTATTATGTACATCAGTTTGAATTCGAATAATATATCAGTTTCTCTCTATACTTGTCTTTACAAAGTATTTATTTTATAATACGTCATCAGCACGAGACTCTGTCATCTCGAGCAAATACTTTGAAAGTATTAGAGGTATGAACTTTCTTTTCCTAAATAATGTCAAATCTTTCTAAACTTGAATTTGTAACCCTGGATATATCGGGCAAAAGCTACATGTCTTGGGTGCTAGATGCTGAAATTCATCTTGATGCGATGGGTCTGGCAGACACCATCAAATATAAAAATCAGGTATCAAACCAAGACCGTGCCAAAGCAATGATATTCCTACGCCATTACCTTGATGAGGGCTTGAAAATGGAGTATCTTACTGTTAAAGATCCAGTCATACTGTGGAATAATTTGAAAGATAGATATGACCACCTGAAGATGGTC